CTACTATCAAGGTGATCTGCAACGGCTTTGTCTTTAAGGGAGCAACAGAAGGGGTTTTTGTTTTTTAAAGATAAATGTATTTTCACTTTAAAATCAACTAAGAAAGAATATTAAGTAAATCGCCAGGTAGATGGCAGCTCTAGCAAACATGGGGACCTCACCGCCCCCCCGCCTGGCTGAGGGTGGGATGGAGGGACTGGGGACGCTGTGGCCAGCGAAGGAGGTGGCCCTGGGGATTCCGGCCCTGCCACAGCCTGCTCGGTGCAGGCCTGAACACCGGCGTGGGTGTGAGCTGGCAGTTTCAGGGCGGTGGTCCAGGCAGAGAAAAAGTGGCCCTGTACCGGGTTGGTCTTTTCCTCTAAACTCTTGTCTCGAGGCCTGAGTTGGGGCCGCCTGCTCGTTCCTTTTTGTCCCCCGGGAAAAGGCTGACTCAGCCTCTGAATTCAACATCTGGGAGACCAGTTTAATGCCAGAGCTCCCCTCCCCACGAGAAAACGAGGCTGGCGTGACTGAGGGAGGGAGGCTATGGGCAGCGCTCCTTCCTCGTCCTACACGCCTCTGTCATCATCTACGTTTAGCTGAACGTGCCAGCCTCAGTGGCCCAGCGGCCTCGGCCCACATCACACGTCGCCACGGCAGACAGCCATGCTGTCTGTCCCCACCGGTCACTGACCTGCGACCAGAAAGCCAGACTAAGAAATATGCAGACACCTGCTATATGTTGTTTATATATCCATGAGTTGTAATCTTGCCACACAGGGAGGATGTGAAAAAAAAAAACAAACAAACAAGTGAACGTATTGGTTTAATTTAATCCAATTAAATGATGGAGGGCAGCAAACCTCCAGAATTAGGTTGTATAACTTGGCCCCAGAGGTCCAGGGTCAAGGCACCAGCCCAGCTGGAGGACTCGGGCTCTCACAAAGGGCCCTGCATGGTGGTCAGCAGCACGACACAATTGTACCTGCTATTCTGCCAAAACAACAGAAAAGCTGGCCTCCATCCGCCCCCCCGCCCGAGCCCACCAAGAAGGCAACTCCGCCAGCTCCAAATAACCCAAGTGACCGGCTGCACAGTTCTCTTCCTGGCAAGTGGCTTTTAAACCCAGGAAGATTCAAATTTAAAAAACAGTGGCGGAATAAACAAGAGCCCAAATGTACAAATGTATTTGTACATTTACGTTACGTGAAAGTTGGGTCGAGTTTGGCGCGTTCATGCACACAGCCCTGCATTTGTGGGGTTTAAGAACATTTGGCCACTAGAGTTTCTCACGTGGGCCATCGAGTTAATTGATGCTAGCTGAAATTTCAAGTTGCACATTTAAGAGAATTCGACAATGTCTGTGAGCATTATTAGAATACGGAAGAGAACTTACTATTTACTTTGTTTACAAGTTCGTTGTATAGATCAAAAGCATTTCTTTGAAATCCTTGGGAAAGCTTTGTTTCTTAGTGGTATTTGAAGCATTTAGAAGAAAACCAAATTTATTAAATTAATGAATGCGGTTCAGAATATCGAAGGCAGTGCTTTTCCATACAAATATAATTTTGGTGCATACGGGCAAAATCAGGTTTACCGTTGTGTGTATGCAAAACAGAGTTCACTCTTCCATGTGTGCTTGTTAATTACTGTATTATTTTCCATGTGAACAGCTGTAAACCTACTTTTGCTCCACCTTGTATAGAATTTTAAACTTTCTGGTAGCCACATTTTAAAAAGAATAGGTAAACACAACAGTAATACAATTTATGTAACTCATCATATCCAAGATATTATCGTTTCAACCTGTTATTCATATAAAAGTTATTAACGAGCTGCTTTACGTATTCCCCCCACACATCTCTAAAATCCGCCGTGGGTTTCACATTTCCAGCCCCTCTCGGTTCAGACGGCTACACCTCCAGGGCACAGTCTGGTGGCTGATGTGTGGGACCGTGGAGGTCGAAAGGAACTGAGTCAGCTGCGTGTCTACTTGGCATTTACTGTTACGGAAGCTTGTTCTGTTCAACCTGCTCGGCTGAAATATTACTCAAAGATGCCTTGAGAATCGTTGTTTAAAAATGCTGGACTTACACAGAAAATGAGATTTGGGTACTGAACTTCTAAGTTCATGAAAAACAGAATTTTAAAAAAATTGTTAATTTAAGAAACCACAAATAGCCTTCCAGGACAGAGTGGCAGGCCTTGAGGACATCACCAGCCACAGTCAGATGACACTGGTCATCCACCTTGGTGCCGGCCTGGCGCGAAAGGCCCAGTGCTCTGCTGCCGCCTGGCACGCAGAGGTCGGGTCTGACTGAGCCCTTAGGGAGTGTCTGCAGCCCATTCCACTGATGCGAACACCGAGGTCCAGTGAGGAGGAGGAGCACACGGTGAACCAGAGTCCAGGCCTGGGCAAATACCTCCAGCCCCCCAATCCCACACCACCCTCCCCAGCTGGCTGACCAGGAAACTGAGGCACAGTCCTGGAGAGGACACCAGCGAAGCCCTGGAAAGCACGGCTCTCTAGGCCCCGGTCTCGCAGCACAAATCAAGGCCTGAGGACACAGCCCAGACCCCAGGCCAGCCTGGGCGGAGAACTGGCTGAGCGCAGCCCGGGGTGCAGCCCAGAGCTCGGGCTGTAAGGGTCCTGCTCGGCACCCGCTGCCACAGCCAGGCCTGCTAGGGCCCCAGAGGGCCAGGCTCCAGCCACCTGGAGTCCCAGGGCACAGCCTGGTAACCCCACCAGGCTGCACACCCTGCCGATGGCGTGAGGGCCCCATTCTCCCGGCTCCTGTCCCCCACTCTTCTCCGTTAATTGCATTTCTTTCCTCCCCCCCTTCCCCAGAGGTCCTAATCTCCTTTCCCCACCGGGACCTGCCCAACACACCAATCGGACCGAGGAGAAACAAACCCACAAGCAGATCTGGGCCGTCCTGCTAGGGTTCGGGCCTGCTGGGCCAGGGCGGACGGGAAGAACCACTCAGGGAGGCCCGGGTCACATTCTCCTCCAGGCAAGCTCGCTCTGGCCACACAAGAGGCTCCCTCCGGGCCCCCTCTGCTCTTGGGGGGGGCTTCGGTGCACAGTTTCTGCCTGCAATGCCCCTCCCGCTAGCCTATGTTTCTCGGCAGTAGGGCATAGACCACGGGGGGACCCTTCGGAAAGTTTAAGGAAGCATCATTTTAAAGCCATTAAATCAAGTAGTGAGCAAACTGTTTCCTGCTCAAAGTGCTTCCAGTCGCCCTAAAAGATCAAGGGAAAAGTAACAATTTGGAGCCAGATGTCTTTGTCATTCCCTTCGACTCCCCTTATTTCCCGCCCACCCCCAGGCCCCCTAAAACAGAGACGGCAAGGCCCGGGCTTCAGGCTCAAGTGCTTTTGCATTCCCTGAACTCTTCGTGAGCACGTAATAGAACTTGTTTTTCACCACTGTTTATTTTTCTGCCTGTCTTTACCCTTGCTTATGGCTGATGATGCCGGTTTTCCATTGGTAATAGTGACACAGTTTCCTTTCAAAACTAAATCTGTGTTAGTAGCAAGTGAGTCAATCGAACATAAAGGTAGTTTCAAAAACACCGGCACATCACTGACCCACATCACTGACCGTGCCGGGAGCAGAGCAGGCCGGGCAGGAGTCGGGCTGAGACTAGGACTGAAGTGCAGGGAACTTGGCTCCAGAGGCCCTTTTGCTTCACTGTCCGGAGCTCTGCCCAGGCCCTGAGTTCCCGCTTCCCTTCAGGCACTGTTCAAGGTCAGTTCCCCAGGGCTAAGGGCTGGCTAGCAGAACCTCAGACGCAGACCCCACACGGCGCCAGAGCCGGTGGCTAGGCCTCACAGAGAAGGACAGAGCGTGGGGAAAATGAAGATGGGGAGGAAGGGGTCCACTCTGACCATTTGTCTGTCTCGGCTCAGGGTGGAGGGTGACTGAGCTCCATGTACTCCTGGTGACCAGGGTGTAGCCACATGGGGCTGAAGGTGCTCACATTCCTGCTTCCAGAACTAAACAGCTTTCCCTGAACCAGTGTGAGGCCAGGAAGCTCGGAGCACATGGTAGAGGCAGAGAAAAGAGGGCCCCCCAGAGCTCCCCCAATGTTCCCAGTCCTTCCAGCTGTCTCCGAAGGCCCTCCCAATGGGTCTTCCTGCGTCTCCCTCATACCAAACTGGATGCACTCACCATCCCACTGCCAAGTGGGCCTGGACTCCTTCAGCCCAGAATTCTGTTTCCACATCAGTCTCTCTAATCCCCAGGTGTGAGGGCCCAACCGTGGCAAGATCTCTTTCGTCCCTGGGCCCCTGCCCAGCTCCTGCCAGACTGGACCCACGTTCCACAGGGCCAATAGCATCCTATGAGCACAGCCCAGCATCCAAACCTTAAGGCCACTTAACGCCCTGGCCCACGTCATGAAGGTGCTCTGGCTCCCAGGGAGAGCTCAGGAGGAGAGGGAAGGAGTCCTTAAGAAACTTCCTGTTCATTTGTAGCTTAAAGTGCCCCAAATATCTGTGGCAGAGCCACTGGCGCCCTCAACGCCCCGTGGCTTCCAGAGTTCTGCTTCTAGACAGCTCTGCTGTGAACGGCGCAAACCTGGTGAGCCCAAAGCCTCAGCTCTGGGGCTGAAAATACAATCACCAGCAGTCCAACTTCTCTGGAAGGTGGACGGTTCCTTCCTGAGAGCTGGCAAGAGCGTGGGAATGGGGGAGTTCCCGAGCCTGCGGGTGGGTGGTATCTCCCCGCTCCGACCCTGGGAGCCCAGCGGCAGGAGCGCGCCTGCTCCCGATCTCAGTCTCCGTGCCCTCTCAGCTCTGTCCAGGCACAGCCCGGCCACCTCCCCCGCACCGGGGTCCCGTACCCTCTCCCAGGGCCCTGACGCTGTTGGCACAGCAGAGGCCTCCCCGGTACCAGAGCACGGCCTTGACTAAAAGGCTCCAGAAAGGTGAGTGTGACAAGCCACCAGAACTGGGCCGAGAGGCCAGGACCCAAGTCCTCCAGCAGGAGTGACCAGAGGTGGGAAGAAGGAGTTACCTGAGAGGGCTGCCACCAGCCATCCGGCAATCACGAAGAAGAACCACATGCCTGGTGCCATCTCTGATGGCTACGCGTGTCTGGCTGCGGGGAAAGCCATCCTGGGGCCAGGAAGTGGACGGGGCTGCTGGGCGCCCCTTACACCTGCTCTGTCCTTTGCTGATCCTGCTGGTGTCTTCCTCTTCGCGAGAGAAAGCGCTCTGTACGCATGCGGGCGAGCCCAGCCTGTAAGTGTCTCTCACGTCTCTGTGCTCTACTTGTGGTTTCGGTCTCCAGGAAGCCAGGCTGGTAGGGAGAGCCCAGTGCCTCTGCTGCGAGCCCACCCAGCCTGGATGAGCCCCAGGAGTCACGGCGAAACACACACACACACACACACACGCACACCCTAAGGAAAAGGGGAGTGGGAGCGCGCGCCTCCTCTCTGAAGCCCTGACACAGAGCAGTTAGATGTTCAACCACTACGTGTTGGAACAAGGGACCCACAGACAGTGGGTCCCGCGGTCCACGGAATCCCTCCATGGAACCCAGCTCTCACAGGGTGAAACCCCAAAGGCTACCTTGTCCTGGGGTGCAGCGATGGCTGGGGAGAGGGACCCTGTGGTCTGGCAGTTTCGTGAGGAAGGGCCTCCAATGTCCCCTACAGAATCTTAAATCGGGAAGGGCCGCAGAGTTGGTTTGTCCCCCACCTCCTCTGCGGGCGGACACCATCCCCTGAGATGGTACTAGGGAGGCCTGTGCCCCTCCACTCCCCACCGGGTCCCTCGGAGGGCGTTTGTTCCTCCACAGGAGTCAGGCATGGCAGCTGGGCCCAGAGGGACGGACGAATGGGATTTCTGGCCCAGAGGCCTCCACTGGGCCAGAAAGAGCAGCGGGAGCAAATGGGCAGGCAGACTACCCAGGACTGGCTGGGACACACCCAGTTGTCCAGCTGGGCTGCACTGGACACTGGGAACGAGACAAGAACCAAGTGCGCTTAACTCACCACCGCACTGCCTGTGGGGTCTGGAGTGGCTGCTGCATCACTAAATTCAGGGGACAGAGAAACAGATCACTTAATTTAATTTAGTTGTCCACGCAGAATCCTTAAAGTCGAGGAGCCCTGGAGAGCCCCGCTCCTCCCACCTAAACCCTGCCCCTCCCCAAGGGGTGAAAAAGGCTGTGGCCCCAGCTGAGGCTGCCCTCTTGTGGAGGGTCGCTGGTAGCACAGGTGGACGTGTGCCTCTAGCCTCCAGATTTCATTTCATTCAACGGACATTTTTTTTTTAATCCTCACCCAAGGACATGGTTATTGGTTTTAGAGAGAGGGGAAGGGAGGGAGAAAGAGACAAATATCTATACAAGAGAGAAACGTGATAGGTTACCTACTTTACGTGCCTGGACTGAGAATTGAACCTGCAACCCAGGCATGTGCCTCCGCTGGGAACTGAACCTGCAACCTTTCGGTTAATGGGAGGATCTCCAACCAACTGAACCACCCCAGCCAGGGCCATTCAGCTGACACTTTGAGAGTCGTCCATGTAAGGAGCCCTGGAATGGGCTCTGGGGAAGGCAACGGAACCACTGCCCTGCCCTCAAGGAGCATGTGGTTAACGAGCACAGGTGACTAGCCCGCAGGCCAGGTGAGATGAACTTCAGGAGTCTGACGAACAGAGTGACACGCGTTTGAATGGGCCGGAAAGATGGGTAGACTTCTGTTTTAAGATCCCACATATAAGTGAAATTATATGGCATTTGTCTTTGTCTGGCTTACCTCTCCCAATATAATGCCCTCTAGGTCCACCATGTAACAAACGGCAAGATTTCATTCTTCTTTCATTGCTAAATAACATTCCATTGTATGCGTATGTACCATATTTTGCTGTGGATAATGTGCAGTTTTTGCCCACATTTTTGAGGGAAAAATAAGGACGAGCATTATACAGGGGCATAATTATTACATACCTCAGGTATAATAATGAGTATAATAATCCCATGTACAATCCACACACAACAATATGGGTGTGCATTACACACAGCAAAATATAGTGTATATGGTCTGTCCAGAAGGTACCCAGCCATGGAATATGAAAAATAAAGACATTTATTGAAGATACAACATACAAGAAACATTGTACACAGGACAATGACGCCTCAGTCCCCAACAAAGTAGGCAGCTTGGGACCTCACACAGTTCTCCCAGTGGCCATCAGCTGCCTCGTTGTATTTTCCCAAATCTCATTGACAGTCTGAAATCTCTTCCCTTTCAAAAGTGATCTTAGTTTTGGGAAAAGCCAGGAGTCACAGGCGCCAAACCTGGGCTGTGGAGGGACTGAGTCACCTGGGTGATCTGATGTTTCACCAAAACACTCTGCAGGAGAGGCAATGCGTGCGTGGGCGTGTTGTCCTGGTGAAGCTGCCAATCACCAGTTGCCCGTAGCTGCAGCCTTCTGAGTCATCTGAGTAGTTCCTGTGGAGGAGCGTTCAAGCTTTACAAAATCTGATGCAGACCCGTTGTTCTACTCACTCAGTCATTTTGAATGTGACGGCCACACAGTACACATGCTCACTCAATGGCATCTGCTGCCCCCACCGACTAGCACAATGAAGTCGTCATTGTTCACGCATGCGCACTCCAGTCCACTCTCCTTGGCTGCCAGGTTACACTGATGTCATGCAAACCGCTCTCATTATACTAACAATGGCTGGACTTTTTCCGGACAGTGCATATATATCACATCTTCGTCCACCAGTCTGTCGATGGACACCTAGGTTGCTTCCGTAGCCAGGCTGCTGCAAATAATGCTAAAATTAACACGGGGGTGCCCTGTAACTACTTTGCACAGAAACTCTGGTCACTAGACTCACCACGGCGGTCACATTACACGGCACATAAATGTTGGACCGCTATGCTGTACATGTTAACCAGCACAGTATTATATGCCAACTATACTTAAATTAAAAATGTAAAGAATTTAGGACACAGGTAGATATGAAGGAAGAACCTTGTGAATACAGAAATAAAACGGCCATCGGTAAACCAAGGAGAGAGGTCCCCAGAAGAAACAGACCCAGCCTCAGGCACCACTGCTGTTTTTCAATCACATAGACAATCCTGCTGGGCTTTCGGAGGTGGGGCTGGGGTTCGGTAAGGCCCACTTGGGACTTCCTGCCACCTGACGCTAACTGGCCTGGCAGCGCGCTGCCAGGAGGACCAGGAGAAGCCAGGTCCACCGAACACGCTCGGCCTGGCGCCCCCACGAACGCTGCTGGCAGCACAGCCTCTGTGTTCCTCACGCGCATGGGCAGCTGCAGCCAGATATGCAGGTGGGAAGGCTCGTGCCGCCAGAGAGGGCTCAGATGGCACCCGAGGCCTCTGCAGGGCCACCTGGGCACGTCACCGTGGTTGGCGAGGGGGCTGCCATGTGAGGACGCAGGCGCCGAGTTGCCGGAATCTCCCCAATGGCAAGAGCAGCAAGAAATCTTGAGTTTTATGTGACCGTTTCTGAATGTATAAGGAGATAACTGCACGTAAATAATTTTTTAATAAAAAAAAAGCAAGAACACACACTTCACACCATGTGGCCAAATGCTGTCTGAGCCAGACCACATGTGCTTGTGGGCTGTGGTCACTGATCACAGGCCCTGAGTCTCCTCAGTACCGAAATTCTGCTCTCCGGCCCCCGACACTGGTAATGAGTGTCGAAGTCCTGTCTGGGTGACAGTCACATCAGTCTTCAAAATGCTACTTCCTCTGTCTCCAAGACAAAAATCAGCCCTCTGGTCTCCCCAACTAAGCAGGTCACCAGGACTTTTCCTAGTCACCTCGCCCTGGTTCCTGGCCCCACACACCTTGGGCCAGAGACTGGACAGAAAGAAAGAAACCGCTCCTCTCGCCTTTGATGCTTTCCCACCTCGTTACAAGGGACTTTCCCGTCACCTACCACACCCCGACGGTCACTGACAGCGGCTCAGCACTCTCACTTGCCAGGTTCAGTTCTTTGGGGTGGCATTTGTCCTATCGACCACGCTGGTGCCCAGAGGGCACAGCTGCGTCACCACACCCTGGGGATCCGGAGCTTCCTCCCCGAGGAGGCAGAGTCAGCTGGGCCGGACCACCTGGGCAGGGCCGGGAGGCCCCAGTCTCCGCCCACCTCGTCTGAAGCACTTGTCCGTGACTGCACTGACTGGCACAGAACGCAGAGTGGAGAGCCTGCTTTCTCACTGTCACCCTGCCGAGGCTTGTCCCATCAGTCACAGCGTGGCTTCTTACCCAATATAAATTTTTTACAACCCTGTTTTGGGTGCTCTCTATAGCTTTTACAAGACTCTATGTCAGCTTTCAGCCTTGCTGATGCTATTCTTACAAATCTGGCCTGGGGCACTCTTTGCATTCCTTTATTCAGTCTATGTTTATTGAGCACCTACTGTTTGCCAAGCACTGGGCAGTCAGTCACTGGGCATAAAACAGTGAGAGTTAGACAAGCCTCTTAAACAAATGGTGCTGGACCAACTGGACAGCCACATGCAGAAAGTGGACCCAGGCACAGACTGTATACACTCTGCAAAATTTAACTCAAAATTGATCATAGACCTAAATGCAGAACATAAAATTATAAAACTAGGAAATAGGGGAAAACCTACAAGTCCATGGGTATGTAGATGCAAGACCAAAGAAATGATCTGTGAAATAAATAATTTGGATTTCATTAAAATTAAAAATTCTGCTCTGCAAAAGACAATTAAAAATGAGATGCAGACTGGAAGAAAATACTTCTAAAAAAAGGCGCATCAGAAGGACGATTACACAAAATATGCAAAGGACTCTCCAAACTCAATAGAAAACAACCTGATTAAAAATTTTGTGAGCCTGGCTGGTGTGGCTTACAGGTCAGGGCACATACCTGGATTGCAGGCCAGGCCCCCAGTTGGGGGCATGCAAGAGGCAAGCCATGGATGTTTCTCTTGCACACTGATGTTTTTCTCCCTCTCTTTCTCCTCCCTTCCCCCTCTCTCTAAAAAATAAATAAAATCTCAAAAAAGAAAATAGGCTCCGGTTGTTGTAGCTCAGTGGATTAAGCGCCAGCCTGCAAAACAAAGGGTCACCAGTTCAATTCCCAGCCAGGGCACATGCCTGGGTTGCAGGCTGGGTCCCCTGTTGGAGGCGCATGCGAGGCAACCACGCACTGATGTTTCTCTCCCTCTTTCTCCCTCCCTTCCCCTCTGTCTAAAATATAAATAAATAAAATCTT